GATCTTCGCAAAAAATGATTGATTGAGACTCCAAATATAAAGAGCGAAAATCATTATATTCATCAACAATGTTATGGACATCCAATTGATAATTACAAATTTCGGATATTTGCCATCCTTCTATTTTTTCATTATCCATAATTCCAGCGGGAGTAAAAATGGATATCTGTGATAAAAAATTTAAACAATCATAATTAAATCGATCATTTAGGTGATTAATTATTGCATTTAGAACAGGGAAAAATATTTCAGTTCTATATCTATAATTATTAATAATAATTTAAATTTATTTAATTTATTCAACTTGTTTTTTTTTGTTCAACATAATTATTGAATTCTGTTTGATCCAATTTGAATATTGATTTCATATTATACAAATCAGTTATTACATTATTCTTTTTCAAAAAACTATTAGATAAGGAATGTAATTTTAAAAATATATTGTCTCCATTAGCTATATTTTAAAATTATTTATAGAAATAGTAACTAATATTAACCTTTTAGTTTTTGTAATTTATTTTTTGTATAATTTGGTTACCAAAGCCAAATCATTACCAACTGCCTGCATTTTTTCAATATTTCTTTCAAAATAAAAAGACTTAATATAAAATTTTCATCTTTAATTCTTGATAATAACCCATCGGCAATGGAAGAGGTGCTTGGGTCATTAGAATCTTTTAATTCAACTAATGATGCTAAAATATGTTCATAAACATCTAAAAAGATTTCTACAGATTTGTAGGATGATGACCAATTTCTGAAAATATATAAGTTTCAAGTTTCATTAAAAATATTTTATTTACCTTGTTGTGTTTTTAATTCTTTTAAGAGATTTCTTGGACTTTCTCATTTGATATTTAACAAACACACCTTGACGTCTAACTCCATTCATAAAATTATATAACTCATCTAATATTCCCATTGCCTTTTTCATTTCAATTTTGCATCCACAAACATGAGCAACTACTAAATTTAGCCGATGTGCATGGCACCAAATATAGATGGCTTTTGGAGCCTCTTTCAATATTAAAGCCTGCATTCCTTTGTATACTCCTCTCATATTCCCTGCACCATCCATACTTTGTCCAACCAAATAATCAAGAGGAAGACCAAGATCATTAAACTTAGAAAACACATGTTTCTTTATATTTTCCCCAGTGGTTTCTGATGTTGTAAAAACATGTATGATCCTTTCTACAGGATGTGGATGCAGATCATCTTCTATATACCGTACAAGCAAAGCTATGCATTCTTTTTTAGACACATCATATGTTCCATCTAATATGATGCTATAGGCACGATTCTCTTTAATTGTTTGAATAATGCTTTTTGTTATTTTTATCTTAATAATTTCAGTTATTTTTTTCACGTGGCCATATGACAGTAAATTTATATAAGGTCTTGAAATTTTATCTGATTTTTTTCTCCGCAATTTTTCGTTGTTATCCATGTATGCACGTAAAGTTGGAACCGTTTTTGCCATTAATTTTATGAGACACATAAAATTACCTTCATTCGAATTAGAACCCCAAAAGGCTATATTACATTTTATAAGGTACATAATGGCATTGATAATATTATGAACTATATTACGATTTTCCATGATTATATCAAGCTTATTTGATAGCAAATGATCTTGAATGCGTTTATTTGCAAGCCAAGTCATGTTTGCATATTCACAATCTTTATGAAGAGAAGATGCTTCGTGTCTCTCTAAGTCACGCTTTATGTTTTTCCAATTATTTACCCCATGTTGAGTCCAAAAAGTATTGGACTTAGGGCCACCAAACATAATACAATATAGACAAAAGACTTTGTCTAAAGTAGTGCTATAAGATAGCCAATTTCTGGGGTTGAGGGAACCATCTATATTAACCTTTCTATAATAGGTTATATTCATGCTCCTGTTTAAAAAGTAAAAAAAAATATATTGGTATAGAAATAATGGATGGGTAAAAATTAATAAAAATAAATTATTTAAAACCTCTTGTTAGTAACAGGATATTGAAATTTATTTGTACATGGCTGACAAGGGCCTACAGCAATTATGAAATTTATCAAAATATTTGTCATCCTAAATAATATAAAGTGAAAAGGGTCATTTGGTTCCTTTTTTTTGTATAGCTGAATAAGACTTGGACTTTGAATATCCTCATAATTTATTCCCTTCAAAAGTCATTATATAAATTTTATTTAAATATAATGCCTCATGCAAAGTAAGTGCCTCACTAGAACCGGGGATTGGATGAGGAGATAATACAATTTGTGAATCTTCAATATTGGAGACTTGCTATAAATAAAGAGTATAATTTGTTTACTTATGAAAATCTATTTTTAATATAATTTCAGCCAAATGGTCATTTTATTCTTAGCTACATTATAATTAAGTTAATCAATAAATGTTGGAAATATTTAAATGTCCTAATTTATTTTCTTCAAAAGTTATCATATAATTCGTATTTAAATTAAATACCTCATCATGCAAAGTAAGCGCCTCACTGGAACTGGGGATTGGATGAGAAGATAATACAATTTGTGAATCTTCAATATTGGAGATTTGCTATAAAGAGTATAATTTGTTTACTTATGAAAAACTATATTTTTAATAAAATTTTAGTCAAATGGTCATTTTATTCTTAACTACATTATAATTAAGTTTTTAATAAAGGTTGGAAATATTTAATTAACCTCATAATCATAATTTATTTCTTTCAAAAGTTATCATATAATTCGTATTTAAATTAAATACCTCATCATACAAAGTAAACACCTCACTGGAACTGGGGATTGGATGAGGAGATAATACAATTTGTGAATCTTCAATGACTGAGATTTTCTATAAATAAAGAGGAGTATAATTTCTTTCCTTATGATAACTATATTTTTAATAAATTTTTAGGCAAATGATTATTTTTTTTAACTACATTATAATTAAGTTTTTAATAAATGTTTTAATTCTACATGAATACATGATTGAGAAAACAGGTATTAAAAATATTATGAAGTCCAACATAAAGTTATCAGGTTACAATGGAAAGATGATACAAGTAATAGGTAAAGCACAAGTGAATGTAGAATACAAAGGGAATTCACATATTTTGAACGCAATAATCATAAACATCAATATGACTTTGTTAGATCATGTAAAAACATTTTTAAAATATACTTGAAAGATTCATAGGCATGATAGATGCAGATTAATATAAAACTGCGATCACATGAAGAAATCATAAAACAATATTATAATGACTATAAAAATAAAAACAATATTAAATATAAATAAAATTGTGAAATTCATGATGAAAGTATATTATCTAAAGAAATTCTAATAGCTAAATAAAACAATGATAATAAACATACCTAATATAACACATAATGTAAATAAAGGGGATGAAACTCACACAGATAACATTTTGAAAATAGTTGATTCCAAATCATATTTTATAAGATTTATATTTAAAAAAAGTAAAAGAATTTGAAGTCTTAATTCAATTAAAGATGAAAAGATTTAAATTTAAAAATTCCTAGAAATTAACATTACCTTATTTTACTACATTATATTAACTTAATAAGTTTTTTTAATACTTTGGTTTTAAATTATTATTATTAACTTATTAAACATATTGTTAAATTGAACTTTATAAAGTATATATAGATATAAAAATAGTGTGATAAACAGTTAAAAAACATTAAATAATAATATATATAATTTATTTTCTCTATACCCTGACTACTTTAATATTAATATTATTCTGGTAAAATTTTAAATCAGTTTCTATTAATTCACAAATTTATAGTTACAATAATAAATAAAAATATTACTTTTTGGAAGTAAGATGTTATTGTCTTTTTTTGCAACTGGGTTTCAACTCCATTTGTGATATTATATGGAATATCACAATTTAAAGATACCCAATTATTATTATCTCTTTTGATGACTACCTTTGTAAATTTCATATCAGCTGGCTTGACATGAGGATGTTTATGTTTATAATGTTCATGTATCTTGTCACTTCTTATTTTAGAAGTTTTGCAATTTTTAATATTGCACTTAACTTTAAATATGGTTTTGTTACTTGGCATCTAGAAAGAAATAATTATTATAATATAATTTTTTACATATTATGTTTTTTATTATTCTTGCTGATATATGTTTTTATGCATGACTCAAAAAATTACCTAAAATTTATCCTTCTAAAATCTATAAATTTATTAAAAAACATAATATAAATATATTAACCTCTAAGAAAAGTACCAAATAGGAAATGTGTAAATATTAACTTGATAAAATGCTAAATGAAAATCGTTGACAAAGAAAATTTATATTATTTATTAATTGACAAATATCTTTACTTTAATTGACATTTTTCAGAAAATCAAACGATAACCATCATAATCGTATCAATTAATGGATTAAAAAAAGATTATAATTCAAATCAAAAATTACCCACCAAAAATCAATACCTACCCCCAAAAAAATTTTGCCTACCCCCAAAAAATTAATATCAACCCCTTAAAATCGATACCTACCCCCAAAAATGCTAATATATTTTGGAGGCATTTGTCTCCTACCCCCCTCCCCCCCCCCCCCGGCCATGTAGACGCTGCCACAT